AAGGGAAAACCTGATTTTTAGAAACATAAAACTAAACACCTAGTTTAGCCTAATTTTCCCTTGCCTTTTTCTCCTAAGAAAGAATAAAAATTTCAATTGGGCCACACAAACTGACCCTAGGTCCCTAACCATGCTGTGGGCCCAATGGAACTTGACAGCTGAATGAGTCCTTAGTTTAGATAAAAATCAAACTTTTTATAAATTTTGATAAAAATTGATGAAACGCGTAATTGAAAAGTTACAAGATCACATAAAATGTGTAATTAAATTAATTGTTGACTTTAACATAAATGTTAATCTAATTTTTATGTTGAGTCAAACAGGGGCTCAATATAATAGTGACATGGGCATTGCTTCAATGGATTGATATCGTTGAGGTGGAGATTTGGGTCCACCACTTCTGACCACATTTAACCTCAGTTGATTTAGATAGAAATATGATTTTTAATAGATTTTAATAAAAGTTGATGGAATGATTTTAATCAATTTTTTTAGGAAAAATTTCATTATTAAGACATTAAGTATGACATATTTCAAATCTAATAAATAATGTTTACTTTTTCAAAAATCAGATATTAATTTAAATTTTATTTATTAAATAATTAATTAAAAAATATTTTATTAATTAAATATATCACGGTCACAATGTTATATAATTTATGGTCACAGTTATGTATTAATCACAATTACAAACGTCGCAGTCACCAAAAAACAAATTTTATAGGTCACAATTTATTTCTCGATCACGAATTAAATAAATAAATTGATCACATATTATTTTTTCATCACAAATCACAAAATTTATGAATCGCAACTTATTTCCTAGTCACATAATATCAAATTAATTGGTCACAAATTATTTTTAGGTTACACATTATCAAATTATTGGTCACAAATTAACAAATTTTTAGGCTACACATTATTTATTAGTTACAATTTACCAAATTTAGTAACAATTACAAAGTTAGTTACAATTACACATTAGTCTAAGTCACATATTAATAATTGATCATAAATTAATAATTTATTAATCACAACACCTAGATAATTGGTTTCAAACCCTCCCAACCCAACCCAACCCAACCCAGTAGTAGCCCCACCACCAGGGCCACCACATATTAATAACTTATGCACCAATCAACGTCGCATGCAGAGGTGCGACGCAGCGAGTGCAGTATCTCTTTGCACTACTCGGCGTTGTGTTATCGGAGGTGCTATGTTGTCGGAGTTGATGTTTTGCTGGATAAGAGGTAGGATATAGAAGTGAGAGGGGAAAGAAGGCGGTTGTGGTTATATATAGAGAGAAAGAAGAGATTGAGAAATAATTAGGGTTTGGTAGAGTAGACGGTAGTGGAATAGATATGTAAAATAAATTTTATAATATTATTATTAATATTTACAATTTTAATTATATCTGAATTTTGAAATAAAAACTTATAAATCTTAAATTTGAATTTAGATCTTAAAAACACTTATGGTCCGTTTGATTGCGAATGTTGAAAATTGGTGGAAAGAAAATGAATTCCAAATAATTGAATTGTCTTGAAATTATTTTACTGAGAATTGTAATTAATTGTGTTCGATTGGTATAATTTTTCATGAAAAATGTTGAAAGTTTGGTATCCGTTTGATTTCATTTTTTATGAAAATTGTCTATTAAAGTGATAATTTTTTCTACCATTGGGTCCAGAATTTNAAAATGTTGAAAGTTTGGTGTCCGTTTGACTTTATTTTTATGAAAATTGTCCATTAAAGTGATATTTTTTTCTACCATTGGGTCTAAAATTTGTTCCAATTGCCAAAAAAAATTAAAAAAAATTTACCATATCGAATACCATTCGTTTGGTTTCGTTTTGTATGGAAATTGTCAATAAAAGTGATAAATTATTTTACCATTGTGTCTAGAATTTTTTCCAATTGCAAAAAAAAAAAAAAAGTTAAAAAATTATTTTTTTTAAAAAAAATAAAGCAATTCCATTTTGTCAAGAAAATGGATTCCCACCACTTTGGCAAGAAAGTCAATTCATTAAAAACATGGAAAATTGGTTGATGTGACACAAACAAAGAAATACAATTCCATGGCAAATTTTGTCAATCAAATAAGTCAAAAAGTGAGAAATGAAATTAATTTTCCATTTTCCTTGAAAAATTAGGCTTATCAAAAACAACATTAATTCATGCAACTTCCACTTTTTTTAACCGAACCAAACTGGAGCTATTTACTAGGGGAGAAATTCATGGATAAGGCATTAACTTTGACATTTGCAAAAATCAGGTGCTAAAGTTTCAAAATT